TTGGACAGGTCTGGGCCAGGGCAGGCGACAAGTTTGTTTATCTACCAGGTTCCAGGGTGAGGCCAATGTCAGCTTCTGGGACCACCCTTTTGAGGAATTAAGAGTCTAAAGGATCATCCTAATTCCTGGTTCATGGTCAGCCTTAGAGAACAAATTTCCTGGCGAGGCAGTGGCTCATGCCTGTAATCCCAGCACTTTGGGAGGCCAAGGCGGGTGGATCACGAGATCAAGAGATGGAGACCATCCTGAACAACATGGTGAAACCCCGTCTCTACTAAAAATACAAAAAAATTAGCTGGGTGTGGTGGCTCATGCCTGTAGTCCCAGCTACTTGGGAGGCTGAGGCGGGGGAATCGATTGAATTGGGGAGGCAGAGGTTGCAGTGAGACGAGATTGTGCCACTGCACTCCAGCCTGGTCGACAGACCAAGACACCGTCTCAAAAAAAAAAAAAAAAAAAATGTGTTTTTCCTGAGTATATTGCAGACTCTGGTTTCCTTAAAGTGAGCTTTGGAATAAGTCTGTACACTACATCTGGTTCAGAACATAGTATTTTACAAACTCAGTATCAAAATATTCTTTCTTGAGTAACAGAAGAGCTAAACGGTTGTATTTTAATGAGTGTCTGCTATTCCGTTTTCCAGGATAAGAGTCAACAACATGTAAAAACATAGAAAGCTGTTTTGTTAGTTCACTATTACATGATTTTAGTTCATCTCAAAAGGCTGGCGGGAGGTAGGGAAGAATGCTGTTCTTGTAGTCACATCCCCCCTCAAAAAGGAAAACCTGGATTCTCAAAGATTTCAAATTGACAGGAGACCAACTTGTCTTCTCTATCTGGAGAACTGGTCTCAGAATATCCAGGAGAACAAAACCACCTGAGCAAACAAGTAATTTGCAGAAATGCTGATGCCTCCTGATAGGGAAGTACTCTAGGCTCAGACTTAGCAAAGAATAAAAAAGAAACGCACAGCCCCTGTAGGGCAGTGGTTCTCCAACGTGGGCATGCATCAGAATCACCTGGGAGGGCTTGATAAAATACAAATTGCCCCACCTCAAGAGTTTGGGATGGAATAGGTCGAAGGTAGAGCCCGGGATGAGGCTGACACTGAGGGTCCTACAGATCAAGCTGAGGTTCGTCTGAGTCTAGCACTGAGTCTTGACAGCAGCCTTCCCAAGAGGAACCACGTCTCCCTCACAGCTGCACACTAGCAGTGTCTAGCAGCACACACAGTTGGTCCCCAGTAAATATTTGCCAAATGAATGACCATTATAACTTTCATTTCCAGGCACAATTTTACTACTTGTTTATGCATACTTGCTGTATCTTATATACAGATTCATTTCAAAAAACATAATTACATATATGCTGGGCACTATGGCCCTTAACCTTAAGGGGTCCACAGTGAAACTGACCCCAATCATAGACACTAATATCACACTTTTTCCTTATAATACCCAGATAGTTAAATCTTAGAGCCTTCTGCCACTAAAATCAAAGAAACCAACTCACCTATCTAAATAACCCTAAATAAAACCCTGCTTAGTCCAAATGGACCAATTCATTGCATAACACACACACACACACACACACACACACACACACATACACACACACACACAATTAAGACAAGAATTTGCCAGGAAGGAACACAAATACCTGTGTCCACACTGGAAACTTAGGGGCCTCCTTAAAGCCTCTTCCAGTTGCGCTAACCAGAAGACAGCCCAGGGAAGAGCACCAGGTGAAAATGCTACTAAATCTTTAAGGATTTCTTCTCTAAATCCATGTTCACTGAGCAAAGCTCAGAAAGAATTTTGGCAGTCATTTTTCAAATCCTCTGTCTGATCTGCATGTTACCATAGTCACATTCATTTGGAAAAACGGGTGTTTTTGTTAAAATTAGCTGTTTCAAACTGCCAAATATTTTAGATCCCTATGCCGGCTTAAAAAAAAAAGTGTGTATAAAATAACCAATCAGATGTAACTGATACTTCCAGAATTATAAAAATGAGGATGGGGTGAGGGTATGACGAGGGGTGGGGAAGAAGGCAAATACACACACATCACATAATTTGTCTATTTCCTAACATCGCCCAGAATGAATGAATAATAAAGACTACACTTAAAGAAAGATGGAGCTGTGCTTTCTTCTGGTTGTCTTATGTTTGAAAGACTGTTTTTGTTCCATTTACTAAGTTGACTCTCATAAATAATGTCTTTTGTTCAAAGAACTTAGCCATAAGGATTTCCTTTTCTCATGACCATTCCAAGGAAGAAGGTTCTCAACATTCCCTGGTCAAGATGATGTGCATTAAAGCCTGTAGAAGAAAACTTGCCCTCAGACGTCAGAACCCAAGGATTAATGTCTTAAATTAACTCCAGTGTGGTTTAAAAATTTAAAAAAAAACAAACAAAAAACTAGGCTACTCTGATTTTATTCCTGGAACCAGTATCTCTGCTGACCTTATTAAACCCTATTATGAAATAGGTCTGAGACACTGCTTTTTTAAAAATCAGGGGCTATTTAAAAAACAAGTTTAGCAACCTGGGACATTAGAGGAAAGTTAAAATGTCAAAGACCTGTGCCCAAATCTCTTGCCTAGCGTTCCTCACTGTGGCTTCTTGAAATCTGCTGGAAAAAAGTACAAGCAGAATTCATTTTAAGACACCTTCTGGAAGAAAAGCCCTGAACTGTATCCTATAAATGCGGAGGGGGAGGTGCAGGGTGAAAACACTTAAGTTTAGAACTTTTATCAACTTCAGAGGATAGAGATTATGCATGTTACATGACCAAATGTAGAATACACAGAAACACCAAGAGCAACTATCACTTAGGTAAGAGGTTTCAAAATTAACGTAGTGACTAGCCAGTTAACTTATTACAAACAGATAGGGAAAGTGATTGTTTTTAATTGGTTTGAGCTGTCCTGAAAATTGCTTCTGCAAGGAAAGAGTCCAAGAAAAAATTGGCAATTCTTTTCCTCAATCTAATACCAAATTTACAGATTTCTGGCCCTTATTTTACTTAGTGTTTGTTCTTTTCAGTTTACTCTCTGTGATCTGCAGAGGATAAATGAAAATGAACCATATAATCAAACTCTATCTTACTTATGTACATTCAATAAATAAATAAACATTTCTATAGGCATGCAGGATTGTCACTGGCACCAGTTAGAATCCCACCTCCCCTTTTTGAGACCATTTCTCCAGATAGAGAAGACAAATTGGTCTCCAATTAATCTGAAATCTTTGCGAATCCAGGTTTTTCTTGTGTGTGGTGGGAAGGGGCGTGGGTGGGGGTTGAGGGGGGTGATTACAAGTCTAGGGTTCTTCCCTACCTCCTACCACCTGAACCGCATCCCACCTTTAAAGGGCAGAGGAGAGGAATAAAGATGCTCAAGATCATTTTCCTCTTTTAAAGACTTCAAAAAAACAAAATTTACCAGGATTTAAGAGAAAAACTGCCCCGTAGTCTTTAATTTTCTTTCTTTTTTGAGACAGAGTTTCGCTCTTGTTACCCAGGCTGGAGTGCAATGGCATGATCTCGGCTCACCGCAACCTCCGCCTACTGGGTTCAGGCAAGTCTCCTGCCTCAGCCTCCTGAGTAGCTGGGACTACAGGCAGGTGCCACCATGCCCAGCTAATTTTTTGTATTTTTAGTAGAGACGGGGTTTCACCATGTTGACCAGGATGGTCTCGATCTCTTGACCTCGTGATCCACCCGCCTTGGCCTCCCAAAATGCTGGGATTACGGGCTTGAGCCACCGCGCCCGGCATCATTTTTTTTTAATGTAGGTATCCTACCACTTTAAGACTTTTCAAACTTCAAATTCAGGGTGGTGAAACAGTCCTAGCCTTATCTAACACAGGTTAAAGATATTTTACATGTTGCATTTCATGTCCTTGTAATAAAAACAGCTATTCAAACAAGTAAAAGTCAATATGACTCTTCTCTCTAACGTATTACAGTAAAAAATGCTTTCTTTTCAGATCTGTGGGAACTGCGAAGGTTTAAGCACAACAAATCCCAAGAAAAATGTAAATGGAACAAATCTAAAGCACGCACGAGCTTTTACTCATGCAGCCCTCCCAGGCTTCAAGCACTGTAAATAGATTTGTTGTGCTTTTAGTGGAAGATGTTCAGAATTTAACTAGGTTCAACAAAACTACATGCCCCACCACCACTCACATGAAAAGGCTCCTAAAAATGTCTGCAGAAAAGACATACTACCTTATTATCACTGCAAATTTCAATCAACAAAGCATTCTTCCAACACACAGTCAACCATGGAATTCTCTTAGCTCAAGGTCACAAAAATAGGCCCTTGGCCTACAATTATGTTGTGGCTCTAGAATGTTCTGAACATGCTTTCCAGGATACTTCTTCCTCTATTAAGCAGTCTAGGAGCCTCTCTACATTTTCCTAAAACCATGAGGATCTTGTCTTACTAGACCTGTGTACATAAAAGATGTTAACTAGTCTCACTTGACGTACAGTACTTTTTAACAGTTCTATCCGTAGAGACTCTGAGATGGGAAGGCTGGTGTACCACTCAGGATTAGGAAGTGCTTTAATCTGAAAATGACAGGCAAAATACAAATCAGAATTCAGGCAGCCTGAGCTACTGTTCCTGATGAAAAGATAAGTGGAGACAAAGGGAGCTAAATCACTTTCCAGGAAAAATGAGACCAAACCATCCCAAGCACCCATTTGTGTCACCTGCCTTTGAAAATAGATTCCATTTGTGTCACAGTTCCATTTGTGTCAGCTGCCTTTGAAAATAGAATGTTACACATAGTCCTCTCTTCAGTTCGAGGCTGCTCAAGGGAGTACTTCTTGAACATTACTTTTTCTTGAGGAAAAAGCAGAAAGGATTGGGAATTAGGGGCCCACCTGACTACTACTGAAATAGCTTTCTCACAGACCCTTCCCATACACGACATGCAGCATGCAAAATTACAATTATTGAAAAATCAACAATCATTGCAAAAAGCCATCCGAGAAACATAACATTTTAATAGATGAAATAAATACTCCAGTACATGCAAGGTAAAAACTTGACGTTGGGGGAAAAAAATCACTCTATAGTGTAATTTAAAAAATAAAACACACACTCACAGTAGCTTCCCCCCATTTGCAAATCACATGGCAAATTCACTCTTTCCACACCAAGTATACTCCTAATTCAACATGATTGCTTAAAAAAATGACATACAAAACAAGGTAGCTACATCCATGTCTAAGGAGTGAAAACTGAGGTAACCTTTCTTTGACTTAACAACAATAAACAACAAAAATGAAATGAACCCATGACCTCCTTCCTGCCCAATTAATAATAAAATTTAGTTGAGAAATTCCGGAAGACGGGCTGGGGTAGGGGGCGGGAGTGATAACACAGCCAGCAGATGACACCATCTTCCAGTCCCTACCGCGTGGGGGCTGGTGGACAGACACCTGGGACCTCGGAGTGCGTGAGCAGGTTGTGCGCATGGCCCTGCCTTGTGGAAGATTCCTTTCGAGCATTTAACGTTGGGGAGGGTAGAGGGTTTCACCTATGATTTCTTTGGTATAAATGGAGAGGGGCAGAGAGTATCTTCCTTTAGTCTGGGGTGGAAGAAGGGGTATGGGGGGGTGCTAATTCACAGAATTGGAATTCACTGGCGGTAAAGTCCTGGGCGAAGACCTCTCCCTTAAAGCCTGAGATAGCAGGGTGCAGCCTTCAGACACGGCGCAGGCCGAGTTCCTCAGCCTCTCCCTGTGGTCCGACATCTTGGCGCCCCCGTCGGGGTGCTGCGCCAGATCCCTGAGGCACTGGGTCAGGAGCACGCAGGCCGACACCACGCTCATGGCGCCTCCCAGGATGGCGGTCTGCACCGCCTTGCCTTCGGCGCTCACGGCTGCCGCGCGACCCAGGAACTGTGGCTCGGTGGCAAAGCCTACCAGGGCGCTCACGGCCTGGACCAGAGGCCCGCTGAAGAGCGCGCAGCGGCTGCGCGCCAGCTCACTGGGTGCCACCTTCACCTCGCGCACGCAGGCCAGGAGCGCCGACGCGCTGGTGCTCATGCACTTGACGCACAGCTTGAACTGCTCGCGCGAAAAGCGGTCCCGTGACTTGTCACTGGCCAGGGCGCACGCATCCGTCAGGAACTTGAGGTTGCGCGACAAGCCCTGCGATACCTCCAGCAGCAACTGCGGCGTCATGTCGGCCAGCGGCGTGGCGCGCAGCACGGCGCAGCCCTGCTCCACCTCGTGGCGGCAGCGCGTCACGCGGTAGCGGTCCACCAGGCCCGGCTGTGCGGGCTGCGCGCCCGGCGTGGCCACAGCCGCCAGATAGGCTGCGTGGGCCGAACACTCGGTCAGCGACACCACCAGGTCGCCCAACTCCACCAGGCTGTCCCCCGCCTCCCCGAAGCGGCCCATGTTGAGCTGGCTCTGCACGTCGTGGGTGAGGATAGAGAGCCCCTTGGTGCGCGCGATGATGGTGTCTCGGCACTGCTCGAAGGACTCGGCGCCGGCACCAGAGGAGACTGGGCCCTCGAAGAGCACGGGCCGCGCCTCGCTCGACAGCAGCAGCAGGTCCGCCACCAGCTGCATCTTTCCCTTGCAGTGGTCGCAGACGGATACCAGCCTCTTCCGCGCCCCGCCGATGGCGCTCGCAGGAGCCGGAGAAGCCGCCTCGCCAGTGGGCTTCCCAGCACTGCCGCTAGCCATCGCGCCCGGGGGGCACTGGCATGCCGCTGGGGAGCCTGCTACCACCACCGCTGCCGCGGCCACTGCCGCCGCCCCGGCGGCCGTCGCGACTCAGCTGGCCAAGGCCGCGGTGCCTTCTCCGCACCATCATGCCATCCACCGCCGCGGGCAGAGGGCACTGGGCTGCGGCGGCAGGATCTGGGGCGGCGCGGGGTGGGCCCGAGGGCCAGCGAAAGCGGGAGGCTCTTCGGGGCAAGGGGAGGGGCTGCAGCTTTCGGCCTCCTAGAGGACTTGCAGGAACCATGAACCGGGGCAGAGCAAACTCACTGTCCGCGCTCCTCGTCGCCAGGCTGCCAGGAAAGTCCCTTCTGCTGGTTCGCTGCCGCCGCTGCCTTCCTGGGCATGGCCCAGCCCGGCCCTTGGAGCGGGGAGGGCGGGACGGGGAAGTTGGGAGTTGTCCTTCCTTCCTTCCTTTCTTTGAAATCAAAATGCTTTCCTCGGGGAGGAGCGCGGGAGCCAGCTCAGGCGGGTTCTGCTGTCAGCCGCCGCGCTCGAGGCCACCTCGGGCTCGGCGGCACACGTGGGCTTCAGGCGCCGTGACCCCGCCAGGCGGCACTTCCCCGCGACGGCAGCCGGGACTGGCTCTCTGGGACGCGCGGCCGCCCGGGGCTCATCTCCTGCCTCCCGCTCTCGGGAAGCGGCGCCGGCGGCGGCAGGGCAGAGGGTGTGGCCGCTGTCGCGGCCGCGCGGAGTCAGAGTCCGGCGGGAGCCTGCACTGATTGCGCACAGCGGCCGCCCCGATCGCTCTCCAGCTCTCGCTCGCCCGCCACGCCCGGGAGTGCCGAGCGCCGCGGCGGCCCCTTCCCGCCTCGCCGGTTCACAGAGCGCGGCCCGGCGCCGCGGCGGCACGCCCTCCCAGACCGCGCGCCCGGCGGCCCGCCGCTGGCTGTCGGCGCGAGTCCATCCCCGTCGCCTCGTCGTCTTTGGCCCGCAGCAGATGAGCTCTCCCAAGGTTCCCGGCCCCGTGCATCGGACGCCCCCGCACGCGTCTCCCTGCGGCCCGGCCAACTCAGAAGGTCCCCGCGGCGCTGCGGCAACCGGCCCGGGCCCCGGCTCCTGCCATTTTTGTCAACCGCCAACTTCCGAGCGAGCGGGGAGAAACTGAAAGGAAGGGCGGGGGCCGAAAGGCAAAGGGGAAAACACCCGCTTCCTCTCCGCGCGCGGCTTCACCTCGGAGCGCGGCCGTGGCTGCGCCGCCGCCCGCAGGGGCTGCTGGAGGCTTTTCCTCTTCCCGTCCGCGCCTCGCCCCCGGGCTCGCCGCCGCCGCCGCCTCGGCCGTAACCTCCCTGGAGCCTATAGAAATCTTTTGTGTGGCGTCACCGCCTTTCGTTTAAATCCCGCTTCCTCCTCTCGCCCTTCCTCCCGCCCCCTCCGCCGCTCCCGGATGCTTGCGCGATGCGCTGCTCCTCCCCCGGGAAGCTGGGTGGCTGCAGTGGACGCCGCCGCCCAAAGCGGACGCGGCGGGCGCGAGGTCGGTGGTCCCGGGACACCCCCGCGGTCCTGGGCCGAGAGACTTGGGGAGCGGACTGGGGAAGGCCTGCCCCGGGCTGGGGGCTCTGCGCACACCCGCGGGAGACCGGGGCTCAGCCGCCCGCCGGCCTTACGTAAGCTCTTAGCCAGACCTGGGGGCTCCACGCTTCCTCCCCGCCACGAGAGCAAGTCTTAAAAGGTGACCTGGCTTCTGGGCTGACGGGAGGAGGACACTCGATACCGTCCCCGGCGATTTGCTTGGGCCGGTCATCTCGTCTGCGCGACTTCGCCCGGTTTTCCAAAGCCCCCTGCCCTTTGTTGTGTTTGATCTGCTTCCACGATGGGTTTCTGCCCAGCCGTGCAGGATAACGAAAAGAGCACTGGATATGGAGTCCCAAGAGTGGGGTTAGACGCTTGCTCGTTCCTCCCTTGAAATATGCCTTGTGCAGTGAGCGCGGGCTCTGAACCAGACCTAGGATTCAGCCTTTCCCAAGCCATTTAGGAGTTCTATGACCTTGTTCAAGTTCTCTCAAAGTATCCGTCTTCTCTTCTAGAAATCAGAGACTTTGCACAGGCTGCTTGAGTACTTGGTTCCTAAATAGTAGCTGTGAGAATTATGATGAGCCTTGATCACCGCAGTTTGCCTTCTCATAATGTCTATTTATTCGTCTCTATGATGGAATAATAGTGGCTGCTGTTAAGTGAATTAAATAAGACAGCCTTTGGAGGGAAACATTATTATTCCAGTTTTGCAGATAAGGAAACTGATGGTCATCTGCTTGAAGCAACTTCCAAAGATCAGGAAGTCAGCAAATGGCAGTGACCCACACCCACCCCCAGCTGCTTTTTTACCCGACCTTGTTCTTCAGGAAGTGGTTAAAACACCTGGGCTACTCCCAGCAAAATGGCCCGTTTGCAGTCCCGGAACAGGTCCTCTAGGTGCCAAGCCAACACATGCTGGGCGTGCTGAGCCAACAGAAATGTTTGTTCCTCTGTCCCTTCCTAGAACCCTAAGTCACCTTTCTCCAGCTAGTTACAAATGTTACTTTTAACTGGGATGACATTTCAGTTTAACGGCCAAACCCAAGCAGTTCTGCGAATGAACTGTGAGACATGCTATTAATAAACTAACCATGAACAGCAGGTTCAAACCTGGATGGATAGTCATCCTACTTATAACTGAAAGTATCCTTAAATATCTTTAGAATCCAGATTACTCCACTTATTTTGCAAGCCGAGGTCAATAAAACTGACGGCTTTTGAAATAGTAAGCAGTTCTGTAGGGTTAAGTGCTTTTTTTCTTCTACGAGAGAAAAAAAAAAAAGTTGGTTAAGTCAGCGTTTTTCCATGGTGACCCAGGAATTGCACCTTACTCCTTCTAAGCCGCAAAGGACTCTTCTGTGCCTAGTTTATCCATGAGGCTGCTCTGAGACCAGGGGATTTTTTTTCCAAAGCCATTAGTGCCCAGGGGGTCCCATTTTCCCTTCCACATATGCAGTCTGTTTTGATATTTACAGAAACCCACCCCAACGATGAGCTGTGTTACACATTCCCACTCTCTATTCATTAAGGTTTGGTTTCATTTTACAAACTGATAGGATTGTTTTCTGGCCCGTCTCTGCTTCATTTTTCAGTTAGGGAAGCTCATTCTAAACTGATCCTCCCAGGTACTGCCCCCACCTTCCTCTAGGTTCGCCCTTACTTTGTGCCACTGTTCATTCACTCGCGATCACCCGTCATGTGCTAGGCCCCAAAGTTACATAATAAGTAATATGAGGCCTCCACTCTTAAAGATGAGAGTCCAGGGAGGGCAACAGATTCAGGAGAAACAATTTCATTATTGTTACAGTGAGAGCACAGAGTCAAAAAACTACAGCAGAGAATGGGCTACACAGATAAAATATTTGCAGGTGGGCAGGGCCATGTGGTTCTTTCTGACCAATGAGATGGAAGAGGAAGCTATGTGGGTTACTTTCAGGCTGAGGCAATGAAAAGCCAATTATAATTCTCCACTCTTACCGTCCTATAACCACCACGGAGGCTTCATTCTAGTTGGCGGAGCCTCCGTTGGCTTAAATAACCACGTGGAGCAGACCATCTTGATCTGTACTGGACATGTAATGTGAGCACAAAGTAAACTATTGGTGTGTTAAGCCACAGAAATGTGAGGGTCGTTTGTTGCTGCTGCATATTTTTAGCCTGATTAGATTAAGAGAGGATGGCTTGTTGGTATCTGCCCTTAGTCACTCTAGTAACGGCTTTTTCTTTAGAAAACCCCACCTATTAACTCCTTCTAACCCTCTCTTAAAACTAAAATAAATATGAATCAAAAGTATTTGCCATGATCTGGGCCCCAAATTCATACGTTAAAACTTAATCACCAGTGTGCCAGTATTACACGGTGAGCTTTTGGGAAATGGTTGAGCCATGAGGTAGAGCACTCCTGAATTTGGGTTGATGACCTTATAAAAGAGGTATGAGAGAGCTGTTCGCCTCTTTTGCCCTTGCATCATGGGAGGATGTGGCAACATAGAGGACGCATCATTTATGAGGAATGGGCCCCTGCTGGAGCCCTGATCTTGAACTTCCCAGCTTTAGAGCTGCAAGCAACACATTTCTATTAGTTATAAATTACCCAGTTGAAGGTATTTTGTTATAGCAGCTCAAATGAACTAAGACAGTATTTTTTTTTTTTTAATGGATGTTGAGTGAGAGAAGAAAGCAGAAAATGTGTGGCCTGAGGATTGGCTGGGGGAAGATAAATGGGGTGGATGAGAGGGAGCTGCTAAATGGCTTGGCCCCTAGAGAATGCATTCTCAGTCCTGGCTCAAGGCCCACACTGAATAGGCATTTGATGATAAGTAAGTGAACAAGATGCAAAGAGAGAACTGAGGATTTGGGCAGGAAAGGTGGCACTGACAGGCTGAGACAGGCAGGGTTGGGAAACATCTTTTACCTTCTCTCACCTGTTCTAGAAGGTACATCCACCACTTGGACTTCAGGCAGGTATAAGAGAACAGTATAGGCACTGTCTTTTGTTTTTATTTTTAAAATTGTGGTAAAATAACATAAAATCATCTTAACCATTTTTAAGTACATTATTGTGTAACCATCACTATCCTCTGTCTCCAGAAATGTTTCCTCTTCCCCAGCTGAAACTCCATACTTGTAAAATGACAGCTCCTCACTCCCCCTTCTTCCAGTCCCTGGCAACCACCATTCTACTTTCTCTATGAATTTGACGACTCTAGGTACCTAATGTTAGTGGTATCATACAATATTTGTTATTTTGTGCTTGGCTTATTTCACTTAACATAATGTCTTTAAGATTCATTGATACTGTAGCATACATGGGAATTTCCTTCCCTTTTTTTTTTTTTTGGGGGGGGGAGGAAGGGAGGAAGGCAGGAAAGGAGGAAAGGAGAAAGGGAGGGAGGGAGGAAGGGAGGGAGGGAGGGAGAGAAGGGAAGGAAGGAAATCGAGCAATGAGAGAGACATTGCCGACCTGGATCTAGAGGTCTACAAGTTGATTTCTCTTTTTTCTTTTTTTGAGAGAAGGAAAGATAAAAAAGGAGTGAAGGAGAGGAAGAAAGAGGAAGAAAAAGAGGGAGAGAGAAGGGAAATGTTGCTTTATTCTAAAAAAAAATGGGTGTTAATAATGGCCAATCAATGTTTCATTTAAACCTATGAGTAGGTATGATGTGGTATTGACAAGAATGTATATTTTGTGTATTTAAAGTGGAGAGCTCTATAAATATTTATTAAGTTTACTTGTTCCGGATCTGAGTTCGAGTCCTGGATATCCTTATTAATTTTCTGTCTTGTTGAGTCTAAGTCTCTTTAGAGGTCTT